CTTTCGTCTTACCATCTGGTGACGGTGTTGTTGAAAACATCAAGTCAATTTCAGGTTTAGTCGCAGGACTTCCAGGTTTAACATCTGGAGATTTTGTGGTTTTACCATGTGGAGATTTCGTTGTTTTACCATCTGGAGATTTCGTTGTTTTACCATCTGTGGGTTCTTTCGTCTTACCATCTGGTGACGGTGTTGTTGTAAACATCAAGTCAATTTTAGGTTTAGTCGCAGGACTTCCAGGTTTAACATCTGGAGATTTTGTTGTCTTACCATCTGGAGATTTCGTTGTTTCACCATCTGTGGGTTCTTTCGTCTTACCATCTGGTGACGGTGTTGTTGAAAACATCAAGTCAATTTTAGGTTTAGTCGCAGGACTTCCAGGTTTAACATCAGGAGATTTTGTTGTTTTACCATCTGGAGATTTCGTTGTTTTACCATCTGTGGGTCCTTTCGTCTTACCATCTGGGGACGGTGTTGTTGTAAACATCAAGTCAATTTTTGGTTTAGTCGCAGGACTTCCAGGTTTAACATCAGGAGATTTTGTTGTTTTACCATCTGGAGATTTCGTTGTTTCACCATCTGGAGATTTCGTTGTTTCACCATCTGTGGGTCCTTTCGTCTTACCATCTGGGGACGGTGTTGTTGTAAACATCAAGTCAATTTTGGGTTTAGTCGCAGGACTTTGGGGTTTGACATTTGGGTCCTCTGGTAGTATGATTGTCGGAGGTGCTTCTGTTATTTGAATCGTAGATATCGGCGGAAATGTCAGCTTTGGGTCCGGCGTGCTTCGTGTACTCTCGGGTGATATTAATGAATCTACATCCGGTCTTTCAGAAGAAGGACTTGTCGTTTTCATAATGACACGATCATCAGTGGCTGGTGATCCCCGTGTCGTTATCGCAGATGTAATAGCGAGGGGCGTAGTCGGTGATGTAGTCGTACGTATAATCGATTCAATGAGGGTGGAGTTTATCAGTACAGAGTAGATATCGAATGGAACCTCGATACCCTCAATAATAATGCTCGTCTGAGGAATGTACAGGTCGCAGCCAAGGTCATGTAGTGGTACATCCAAGATGCTAACACCTGCAGCAGTGAATGATACATATAAGTGTGTGATTACTATATATATATATAATATTATATTTATCTGGTATATATATCACAGGGGCATAAGTAATCGGAGTGCGGTGTTGTTGGTGTTGTTGATGACTAATGTTTGTTGACGCCCTCTGCTGCTACGTTATTAGGGTCCAGTCATTTACTTATCTGCAGCAATTGATCGCAAGCAATTAAATTTCGAATAAAATTGTATAACGATAGGCGGCGATAATCCGTAATTTGGCACGATGTTCTAACGTATGTAATAACGAATGTTGGTTTTATTTCAGTTAAATTTGGATAGATCAAAGTTTCTCGAGAACAACTTCCGAATTTTAAAATTCGAAGCGCAAAAGACGTTACGAAAGTTGAGACAACCTGTCAACAAAGATAGGTGTGTGTTCTGTGATTACCGACATGATGGATAATATAATGTCAACAAATGAATACGGTTGTTACGAACTAAAAAAATGCATAGTTTAATTCGACTCATAAAATGCATTTGAACAACTTTCTTAGTATTTTTTAAACTTAATTACGTGTGATGAATAAAATTATGATCATAATTCTGTGATAATCTGCATCACTACCTATGAAACCATACGAATAATTGTTTGAACGCATGGAAAGCTTTCAATTAAGCGAAACCGAATACAACTGAAGGGCAGTGTTTGCAGTTGCATATAGCTACGGGTAATTGACATAACCACGTTCAACTGCACAAACGTGTACAAATCGGTACAGTTGTTTGCAATTGCGTGCAACTGTTTACAACTACATAGAACTGTTTAGAATTCGGCTTAACCGTTACAGGTGGACAACGCCACCGGCTCAGGTAAATGCATTCTACAGTCCGAACAAGAACGACATTGGTAAGTTTTCATAGACATAATTATAATTAAATCATTATAATGAACTGGTTATCTCGCGCACATGCACTATGACGTACATCATAATTCTATGAACAAAGCATTTAGCATTGATATTTAACCCATCTTTAGACGTTACACGGCCAAGAGTAACGTCAAAACAGCATAAAAGCGAATAAGCTACAATATGTATCTTCGACAAGAAATTTTCACCGGCAGTCTGCAATATCTAGGCACCATTCTATCTGTTATGTATATATATATATATATATATATATATATATATATGACAAATGTTTACCATTACAAACGTTTACAATTGCACTGGCTTATAAAGAATGTGCATACGCATTCAACACACCATGGTTTGCACCTCCCTACTTTATATTTAACGAAGCCACGGTGTTGCCAGGATTGTTCTTCATCATAGTTATATACACTATGTACACAGGCTAACCTTGAATTGTCGAGAATTCATTTACGCGCACGCCATTACGTATAAAACCAGTAATAAACTAGTGGGCATAAACACGTTCGTCGTTGTCCTAACCGATTCAGGTTTGACATTAATTTACGACTACATTGTCTACTGTTACATAGCTGCAAAATCTAATACTAGTATACGCATTTTACTCTAGTTTAACCTACACAATTCGGCGAGATCAGGGTTTATTCTAAGAAAAATTTCTAACCATACAAACGATTGTAATAGTACTGTGAGGCAAGCGATCCAGGGTCACCGGAGGCGTGGAAACCTATAGGGTCCGATCTTCACTGCACAAAATTTGAATCTACATTTAACATACTACATTATAAATAGTACATTTTTTTATTCAGCTGCACGTTAAAATAAATCCTAGCTATGATAATTCAAAACGTTACAGTCAAACATATAATCAGATTGAGAAAAGGAAATGGGAACTATTGAGTTTGCAGTACTGCTATAGAAGAACTATTTAAACACGGTCTCAAATTATTGGGTAATATACAAAGAACATGAGTAGTGCCAGCACATCGTCGATATTTAGATAATATTCGTTAGCAAAAGGTCCAGCTCTTTCTCACTGATAAAATGCTATAATAAACCTTACCGCTAAAAAGGCGTTATGATCCAAGAAGACCAGTTACCTGGTTCTTCGCTAATGCATATATCACACACCCTCCGCCGCTGAGCGCAGCGGCTGAGAATGCTATCCTCATCACCTTGTACTCGGCCGCGATTGTCGACGCGCGGATGCAGTCCCTGTCGTCGGGCTTGGCCAGGTGAGATGTCTGATCTTTCGCCAGTGCTATCACACAGATGACGTACTTTGTGCCCGGTGTGAGATGATCGGCAACGTAGTAGCGAGCTTGCGCGCTCAGCTCATAACTCTCCACGACTTTCTTGCTTACCTCCTCCATCTCGTAAACCTTGAAGCCCCTTATATGATCTGCTATGGCCGTCTTCACAGACCAGCCAACTGTTATGTAGTCCTGCTGACAGTCCATCTCGTAGAGGTTTATATATCCTTTAAAGTCAGGGGTGGGTGTTGGGGGCCATGTCTTCTGTGGGAAAGCGGTTGGTGTTACTGAAGAGCCCGGGCCGTCTGTTGGACGCGTTGTTTTACCACCTGGTCCTGGTGATGATTCTGGTGTCGGAACTGTCAATTCAGTTTTAGGTTTAGTCACAGGACTTTGAGGCTTAACACCAGGAGACGCCGTCGTTTTACCACCTGGTCCTGGTGATGGTACTGGTGTCGGAACTCTCGAATCAGTTTTGGGTTTAGTTACAAGGTCATCAGGCTTGACATCTGGGGGTGACTTTGTTTTACCATCTGTGGGTCCTTTCGTCTTACCATCTGGTGACGGTGTTGTTGAAAACATCAAGTCAATTTTAGGTTTAGTCGCAGGACTTCCACGTGTGTGTATGTGTGTGCGCGCGTGTGTGTATGTGTGTGTGTGTGTGTGTGTGTGTGTGTGTGTGTGTGTGTGTGTGTGTGTGTGCGTACGTGTGTGTATGTGTGTGCGTGCGTGTGTATGTTTACTTCAGCTTGTAGGTTAGTGTGAATGTTAGGTTATACTTCAATAAATCTGCGTCGTGGAGCAAACGTAGTAAATAATACACAATGCGTGATCTGTGCAGCATTACTAAACCCTTACCTCTAAGTAAAGGAGGATCATAACATGTAGCTTTCCACAGAGGGTTGCGAATTACATTGCAATCTTGCCATGTGTCTGGGTTACCTATTCAATGATGGGATGGTAAAATCCGTCATCGCAGTGTAAATGCAAATACGCAATATTGTACATCTACAATTCTTTTGTATATTGGAAACTGATTGTAGTATTTATTAGTGGAAATCTCGCAAGTTGAATAATTGACTAAAACTGCACGTATAACATAATATCAAGAGCCCATTACCCCCATTATTCCATGGGAACCCCCATTATCCCATTATTCCATTAACCCCCATTAAGGGGTTAATGGGCTCTTGATAATATAAATGTCAATAACGATAAAGATATCGCGCCGAAACTTTTGCCGCCATTTAAAAACAGATTTACGTAAGCAGTTTTGATGTTTTGACTTACCGTATCTGCGAAGATACGTCTCCATCCAAGCGCGCAGCGGGTAGATTTTACAGTTACAGTTCCACGGGTTGTCGTGTAAGTGAAGCTCAAGCAGGTTGGCATAGCGAATGCCGTTGAACAGGGCCGGGTCAATCGTCGCGAAGTTGTTCCGGGAAAGGTCGATTATTATTTGACCTCTCACGTCGTGGAACGTATTAAGCGGAAGTGATGCAACCTGTCAATTTTAATACATCCTTGGTCACACTACCGCGTAATGTCCTAACGTACAAATTGGTTTGCCATAAATGCCATTCGTGTAAAGAAAAAGGTGTATTTTATACAGCGATAGCTGAGAAAGGTATATTAGTAATAATTCGACGATTTTTTTAAATAATGAGTCAGCAGAAAGTCAGTATAGACGCCTGCAGTGGTCGCACCAACTCCCCAAATCAAGCGAACAGCTAATCACAACCTTACATTTATATTAGCGCTGCTGAAAGTGAAGCTCTTTAACCTCGCGTAAGCTCAACTAGTCAAGCGAACGACTGACTACTCACAATATCGTCATACTTACGCTAGTGCCGCTGAGAGTGAAGCGCTTTATGCGAGCACCACCTCCGCGCGCGGACTCGTGGTGAGACGTCTGCGCCCACCAGTATGGAATCATGGCCGCCTTGGAGACAGTCTCCACCTTTGTCCCCGTTATGTGCAGGGTGGTGAGCCGCGGGCTCAGCCTCTCGCAGGCGGGCGTCCTCAGCCTGTCGACGCTGATTTCAAGAGACAACGACTCGAGGTAGCGCAACTGGCACACGTTGCTTATGACGTTCTGGTTGAGCTGGGATATGCCGAGCATCTCGTAGACGTAGAGGTTGGTCAGTGGCAGCAGGCAGTCTTGATCAAAGCGCTGCATCGAGCCGAGGTTGTTCAGTCGCAGCACCTCTAGCTTGGACAAGCCCTGGAAGCTGCCGGGTAAGATCTCGACGATGGGGTTACCCGATAAGTCGAGTTCTCTTAAATTGGGCGTCTTCGACCACAGGTACGTTGGAACCTCAGTGAATTTATTGTGCGCCAGATTGAGGGACAGGAGTCCATCGTGGACGACGTCGTCGGGAATCGACGTGAGCATGTTGTGTGAGAGGTCGAGCACGGTGACCCCGTTCGCGGCAAGGTTAAGACTCGGCAGAGTTGTGAGTCCAAGGCCCCCCAGGTACAGTTCTCCTACCTGTGCTCCCTCTAGGAAATCTGGCGCTAGGGTCAAACTCAGGGCAGGATTTTCCGACAGGTTGAGGACATCAAGTTTTAGTCCCGCAAACGATTTCGCAGCAATTTCTCGGATCGCGTTGTTCGATATGTTAAGGACTCTTAGATTGGGACTGCCCGCGAAATCCCCTGCATTTATTCTAGTGATGCCGTTGTGCGATAAATCGAGAACTGACAGCGCCTGCAGCATTTCTAGCGCACCTACGGGCACGGCGCTGAATGCGTTGTTATCTAAATATAACTTAAACTGATCAGTCGACACGTTCGCCGCCATGTCGATTCCAAGCAAAGCCGAAGGATTGAGCGTCTCGAATTTGTTATAGCTGAGCTTCAGCGTACGTACTTTTCCGGTGGTGAGAAACAGTCGGCCGGGAAGTTCGCTCAGCTTATTGTGAGAGAAGTCTACGTACTGCATATATCTAGAGTGAGCGAACACGGAGTAGTCAACCCTTGAGATCTGATTACACTGGGCCTCGAGCGTCACGAGACGCAGGCAGGAAAAGGAAAACGGCGGAATCTTAGCGATAAAGTTGTTGTTAATCTGTATGTGAGTTATCGTCGGATTCACTGCGCGAAACACCAGCGTCGGAATATCCCAGATCTCGTTATGCGCTAGACTGATGAACTCGACTTTGATTAGGCCGAGAAAGACATCCTCCGGGATGTACTTGATTCTGTTGAAGCTGAGATCTAAGGAGCGCAGGCGTTGCATGAACGAGTAGTGACCGACCTGTACCTCCTCGATTTCGTTGTGGCTTAGGTCGAGCGCCCCGAGCTGCGGTAGATAGCCAAAAGTTTCATCCGTCACTTTACTGATTTTGTTTCTCGCGAGATTGAGATTATCTAGCGAGTTGGACACCCAAAAGAAGAACGTCGGCTTGATGAGACGAATGCCGTTATCCTGGAAGTTGATGGAACGCAGCCGCTTAAACCGGAATGGGAACGTGTGGTTCAGGTTCACTATGTAGTTGCGTGCCAGGTTAAGCGACTCGAGGTTCTGCAGAAACTGCAACGACCTGAAGGGCACCGACGTCAGCGCGTTTCCGGCCAGATTCAGTCGCTTCAGTGTCTTGCCCATCGCGTAGAACGTCTTCTTGTCGATCTTGTCGACGGCGTTGTTGGCGACGCTCAGATCCTGCAGGCTGTGCAGCTTGTAGAGACCCAGGTCATTCGTCAGGTTGCGCAGTCGGTTG